CAGAGCGGCCTCCGGCACCGTTTCCGGACAGATCCGCCGACGAATCCCAAACCGGCGCCCTCGCTTGAGACATCCTCACAAAACCGGCCCCGGGGGAGGTGCCCAGAGGAGCCCAGAGCGGCCTCCGGCACCGTTTCCGGACAGATCCGCCGACGAATCCCAAACCGGCGCCCTCGCTTGAGACATCCTCACAAAACCGGCCCCGGGGGAGGTGCCCAGAGGAGCCCAGAGCGGCCTCCGGCACCGTTTCCGGACAGATCCGGTGGATCCGGTGACGAATCCCAAACCGGCGCCCTCGCTTGAGACATCCTCACAAAACCGGCCCCGGGGGAGGTGCCCAGAGGAGCCCAGAGCGGCCTCCGGCACCGTTTCCGGACATCCGCCGACGAATCCCAAACCGGCGCCCTCGCTTGAGACATCCTCACAAAACGGCCCCGGGGGAGGTGCCCAAGGAGCCCAGAGCGGCCTCTTTTCCGGACAGATCCGCTCCTCACAAACCGGCCCCGGGGGAGGTGCCCAGAGGAGCATCCGGCCCCGGGGGAGGTGCCCAGAGGAGCCCAGAGCGGCCTCCGGCACCGTTTCCGGACAGATCCGCCGACGAATCCCAAACCGGCGCCCTCGCTTGAGACATCCTCACAAAACCGGCCCCGGGGGAGGTGCCCAGAGGAGCCCAGAGCGGCCTCCGGCACCGTTTCCGGACAGATCCGGTGGATCCGCCCGACGAATCCCAAACCGGCGCCCTCGCTTGAGACATCCTCACAAAACCGGCCCCGGGGGAGGTGCCCAGAGGAGCCCAGAGCGGCCTCCGGCACCGTTTCCGGACAGATCCGGTGGATCCGGTGACGAATCCCAAACCGGCGCCCTCGCTTGAGACATCCTCACAAAACCGGCCCCGGGGGAGGTGCCCAGAGGAGCCCAGAGCGGCCTCCGGCACCGTTTCCGGACAGATCCGGTGGATCCGCCGACGAATCCCAAACCGGCGCCCTCGCTTGAGACATCCTCACAAAACCGGCCCCGGGGGAGGTGCCCAGAGGAGCCCAGAGCGGCCTCCGGCACCGTTTCCGGACAGATCCGGTGGATCCGGTGACGAATCCCAAACCGGCGCCCTCGCTTGAGACATCCTCACAAAACCGGCCCCGGGGGAGGTGCCCAGAGGAGCCCAGAGCGGCCTCCGGCACCGTTTCCGGACAGATCCGGGATCCGCTGGATCCGCTGGATCCGGTGACGAATCCCAAACCGGCGCCCTCGCTTGAGACATCCTCACAAAACCGGCCCCGGGGGAGGTGCCCAGAGGAGCCCAGAGCGGCCTCCGGCACCGTTTCCGGACAGATCCGCCGACGAATCCCAAACCGGCGCCCTCGCTTGAGACATCCTCACAAAACCGGCCCCGGGGGAGGTGCCCAGAGGAGCCCAGAGCGGCCTCCGGCACCGTTTCCGGACAGATCCGGTGGATCCGACGAATCCCAAACCGGCGCCCTCGCTTGAGACATCCTCACAAAACCGGCCCCGGGGGAGGTGCCCAGAGGAGCCCAAAGCGGCCTCCGGCACCGTTTCCGGACAGATCCGCTGGATCCGGTGGATCCGCCGACGAATCCCCAACCGGCGCCCTCGCTTGAGACATCCTCACAAAACCGGCCCCGGGGGAGGTGCCCATCCAGAGCGGCCTCCGGCACCGTTTCCGGACAGATCCGGACAGATCCGGTGGATCCGCGCCCCGGGGGAGGTGCCCAGAGGAGGAATGAGGAGGAGGAGGAGGAGGAGGAGGAGGAGGAGGAGGAAGAGGAGGAGGAGGAGGAGGAGGAGGAGGAGGAGAAGGAGGAGGAGGAGGAGAAGATGATGGAGCTGTGGGGTGGAGGAGGACAGACGGAGGCAAGAGAAGGATGGAGGAGGAGGAGGAGGAGGAGGAGGAGGAGGAGGAGGAGGAACCTCATCCTCACCCTCGCCAACAAGCGCACGCACCTTCTTCTATATACAGAAACTCCCGATCAACCGCAGAGCGGACGGCTAGTATCAGCAAGATGATTAGGGTGAGGGTTGGCTTTTCAACTTCCTCATCATGCTTCTCAAGCTCCTGTTCTTCCACGTATCACGCCTCCTCTACCACGTATGAGTATGCCCCTCCTCGTCCTCATACCAATCCGTCTAAAGAGTGGTATGAGGAGGGTTGTAGAGGAGGCGGAGAAGGCGCAGTGATAGAAGGGCTCGGGGAGAAGGAACATGGATGATGGCCGGAGAAGATATGAGTCACTCCTCAAGTTGCTCCTCCTGGCCCTCCTCTTCGCCTTCGTTGTATCACCTCCCGCCTCGTCTCAATTGGAAAGGACGAGAAGGATGAGTGATATGAGAAGGAGGAGGAGGAGGAGGGAGCAGCACTGGGAGGAGGAGAAGGATTGTGATGAGGACGAGTGGCTTCTCAACTTCCTCCTCCTCCTGCTGCTCCTCCGCCTCCTCCTCATATCATCCCTCGTCCTCTGCATCCCGCCACTTCTCCTCCACGACCAGATGCAAGGCTAGAGGGAGGATGTGGAGGACCTCCGTCCCCATCCTCTTCTTTTTTCTGAAGGCTGGAGACCACCAACCCACTCCACTCATAGCTGGTGAGAAAAGGGAGGACGAGCAGGGAGAGGAGAGGGGGAAAAGAGAGGGGAGGAAGCCAGGGGAGTGGAGGAGGAGGAGGGAGGGAGGGGGAGAAAGGATGACATGTTGGAGGGAACATGCTCCTGGGATTTGGCCAAAGGGCTTCTGGAGTTTCCCAGTGCTCCTTTTGCGGTTGGTTGCAAAGGAGGGCGGACGGGCTTGGGGGAAAGATCCGAGGAACAAAAAGGCAATCGGATTTACATGGCCTTTGTTTGTGTTCCCCCAAAGTAGAATGACCCCAGCGCGACCCCAAGTAGAGGAAGAGTTTAGACGCTTCGCGTAGCCCCAACATGCTTTTTTCCTCTTTCCCCCTCTTGCTCTTCGTCGCCTCGCCCTCTGTGTGCTCTCGTTCGTTTCTCCTCCGACGCGTAGTTCTCGCCACCGTTGTGGCCCCTTTTCCGCCTGTCCTGTAAGGTTGGCCTGTCGCCTGACTACCTCGACGGCGCGCAGGTGCCTGCGTCGCTCGCGATCAAAAAGTAACCCCACCATGCCTTTCAAAAGCGACGCCCAGGCGACTTGCCTTGATCAGGCGTCTGGGTGAGCATGCAGTGGGATCACGGTTGGAAATCCTCATATCTCAATAGGGGGAGAATGGAGGAGGAACCCGAGGATGAGGCGGAGGAGGGGGAGGAGGAGGAGGAGGAGGAGGAGGAGGAGGAGGAGGAGGAGAAGGAGGAGGAGGAGGAGGGAGGAGGAGGAGAAGGAGGAGGAGGAGAGGAGGAGGAGGAGGAGGAGAAGGAGGAGGAGGAGGGGGAGCAGGGAGGAGGGGGAAAGGAGGAGGGATAGGCAGATGAGTAAGAGAGCAGAACGCTCAGATGACTCTGGAATGTTTCTCGGATTCTCTTCGGATGTCCCTGGAGAGATTCTTGCAGGCCTGTTGAGGCGTCTTGGCGGCCTCTTGGCTACCCCGAGAGCATCTTGAAGCGTCTTGGGTGCCTCGGGGGAGCATCTCAGGGCCTCTTAGGGGTCTCTTGGGGGTCTGCCGGAAGCATGTTTGGGGGGCGGCATGGTGGGGGCATCTCGGGGGCCTCCTGGGCGCATCTTGGAGTACTCTTGGGAGCCTCGGAGGCCATCTTGGGGCCACCCTGGAGGTGATCGACCAAAGAAGGGGGGTACTCAATTGGCGTCCCTCCCGCGGAGGCCCACATTGGCCAAGCCCTATAAGGGCTGGTGGGATTTCCCGAGTAAGTATCCGAGCAATGAAGGCATCGATCTGCATTGCTATGTTTGCTTGGTATTGCGTTGCATCCCTTGGTGCTGCCTGGCACGCCTTCTTGTTGCTTGGCGTTGCGTTGGGTTGCTTGGCCGTGTTTTGATTCGCTCCAGGTGGAATTGTTTTGCTTGGCATTGCACTGCTTGGTATTGCTTGACAAGTTTCCGCGTTGCTTGGCATGTTGCAGCGTTGTTTAGCATTGCTTGCCATTATTTGGAATTGCTGGACATTGCTCAGCATGGCTTGACATCGAACTGCATGGGCTCGCATTGATGAGCATAGCTGGGCATTGCTTGGCGTTCCTCGCGTTGCTTGGCATTGCCATGCGATACGGAACCAATACCAAGGAGCCTGAAGAGTGCAGCCACGAAACAACATTGACCAACCCGAGGAGGGCAGTCCAGAAACGCGACCAACCAATCCGAGGACGGCAGCCAGCAAACAAGACCCAGCTGCGCGAGGCCAAGGAATTCCATGAAGGCGGTCGAGCTGCAAGACCAGGCAACCCGAGGACGGTAGTCAATACACCAGACCAGGCAACCCGAGGAAAGCAGCCAAGAAACAAGGCCAAGCCACCCGAGGAAGGCATGCAGGCAAAATATTGGTCATTCCGAGGAAATTTTGGGCGGCGCATGCGTGTCACCCACAGGATGTTCGAAAACGAGTGAGAGCCCACTAGGCAAGCCTGATTCAGGGCAGAGGTGACCTGTAGATATGATGCATGGGCCGGTTTCTCCTCCTCCTGACCCGCAATGCGAGTTGATGTTGAATTCTTCAGAGAGGGGATCAATTCCCCCCCCCTACACGTCCGCCATACACACACAAATATATATATATATATATATATATATACACATATATATAGGGGGAGGCCGCTAGGGATACATATTTATATATATATATATACATAGCCACAATTACAGCAGCAGCAGCAGCAGCAGCAGCAGCAGCAGCAGCACCAGCACCAGCAGCAGCAACAGCAACAGCAGCAGCAGCAGCAACAACAACAACAACAACCACACGCAGCTGGATGTGACGAGAAAGACCCTTCAACTCCACCAGATCCCCTTGGGACCTGAAGCCAGTTAGCCTCCGCGTGCGTTTTTGATTCTTTCGCGGGGTCCGGCCCCTTTTCGTCACTGTCGCTCAGGTCGGCGCGCTCGAGGAGGCCCTGGAGTCGGAGCGCCTCGAGCGGTGGGAGTCCTCCCGCGACCTGGAGCGGTCTCGGGACTCCGAGCGCGAGGCCCGGTGCAGGGACCAGTTCCTGGCCGAGCTCGCCGTGGAGCTCATCTCCGTCTCACCGATCCCCGTTCGAGGAAACGTGAAACTCGAGTACGGTAGGTTCGTGTCGTGTCGACCGGCGGCGACCCCGCCAGCGGCGTTCAACCTTGAACGCCGCGGGCGACCCAGAATCGTTCGATGCGGAACGATTTTGACGTTTCGGAAACGGCGGATCGTTCAAGGTTGAACGATCCCCGCGGTGTCAGAAACCAACGCCGGGGTCGACACGACGCGAACCTGCCGTAAGCCGGATCTCGGGTTTGCCGAATTCTTTGGACGAGCGCGTCCTGGGTTTTGACGCTTCGGTTCCCGTGGGATTTTTGCAGCGCGAGTTCGCTCCACTTTTCAGAGTGGGTCACGTCATGTTGATGATCGCCTCGTCAGGCCAACCCGAGTCCCTCGTACCCGAGTCTTACGTCTCCCCGACCCATCCCCGCCGGGCGACGGTGCAGTCAAGACGCTGCAATACTGACCGCTTTGGGCTCAGGAGGGGCACGGGTTGTGCGGGCCGCTCCTTAGAGTTGTGCCGTGGAACCTGTTTGTGGCCTACAATCCCGCCCTTGCCAGAAAAGCCCCTGGGTTCTTGCGTCCCTTCTAGCAGCAGGAGCACGAGCAGTAGGCAGTGGAGAGATAAGGATCGTGTGTTTATGGTTGCACGATGACTATACAGTGGCCATCCATGCCAAGAAACCCTGCTTGCCTCCAGGGTGCCCTGGGTTTCTCGGGTTTCGATGGTCCTGCTGTGGAAAGGGCGACGCTCCCGCACCAAAAATCAAGGGACGTCCTGGGGTCTCAGGGCTGGGTTTCTTGTGAAATATTTCTTGTGGTCGGGCCCCTGTTGTAGCCGTAAGAGTGACCTTTTCGCCGGAGGAGAAGGAGGAGGAGGAGGAGGAGGAGCCCTCACCGCCACCCTCAGTTCCGGGCGTTGCGATGTTTTTCACCCTGGGCGTTTTCGCCCTGGGGGCCCGGGGAAATTGCAGGTCGGTCTGGCTCGAAAAACGTGGCGCAGGACGGTGGGTCTCCAGGGCAGGGCTAGACCTAAGCGCTTTTCTGCTGGACTTCGGCTGTGTCTTGTTTTTCGTTTTGGGAGTGAGGTACAGGAAAACAGGTCGAGCAAAGTGGTATTTTTTTATCCATTGGTTTGCCGATCGGCGCGGGCCCTCGCACCCCCCCCCTCCACCCCCCCCATGGAGTGGATCTTGGCTGTTTTTTGGCGACTGTTTCGAGCAGATGGAGCCTCCCCCATAGGACGCACTGTTCCAAACAGTCGCACTGAGCAGGGGTCCAGAGTCGGACCCCCCCTTTTCCCCCCCCTTCCGCCCAGTGTCGAAACGCCGAATAGGAAACACGCTCACAAAGCGAAACACGGAACGAGAACAAAATGAAAACACGGCGTTCAGGTCCAGCCCTGCTCCAGGGCGCGGGTCTTGATGTTGTGCGTTGTTGTCATGCTTATCGCCCTCGTCGGGTCGCATGGCCACCGGCGCAGCCCTCTCCCTTCAGCTGCCGCTGGTGTGAAGTCGAGCGTGTCCGTCTAAGGGAGGAATCTTCGAGAACAGCTGAAGCATGGTCTGGTGACAGTTGTTTATTCGTTGTTTTGCCGATCGGCGCGGGCCCCCCACCCCCCCCGTCTACCCTTCCCATGAAGTGCGTAGATCTTGGCTGTTGTTTTGCGCCTGTTTCGAGCTGTCTCCCCCAGAGGCAGCATTCTTGGAAACAGGCACAGCAAACAGAAGTCTGGAGCCAGACCCCTCCCCTCCCCCCCCATCCTCCAAGTGTCGAAGCGCCGAATAAAACAACGCTCACCTGGGGACAACTGTTCGATTACTAGTTGACTATTTCCCAACCGTCCTGTGGTGTTGGGTCCTCGTTCTGAAGAGACGGTCCCCGCGTTCCTCTTCTCCTCTCCTCCTCCCCCCCCTCCTCCCCCTCCTCCCCTCCCTCCTCCTTCTTCCATGCGTTTCATCCACCCAGCACAGCGCTTCGTGGCCCCATAGGAAGCTCCACCGAAGCCACCAGTGGGACCGCCCGCATGCGTCCGCCACCACCCAGCACAGCCCTTGCTCCCTGCGTTTCGCCCACCCAGTACAGCGCTTCGTGGCCCCATAAGGGGGCTCCACCGAAGCCCCCAGTGGCACCACCCGCATGCGTCCGCCACCACCCAGCACAGCCCTTGCTCCCTGCGTTCCGCCCACCCAGTACAGCGTTTCGTGGCCCCATATGGGGGCTCCACCGAAGGTCCCAGTGGCACCGCCCGCATGCGTCCGCCACTACCCAGCACAGCCCTTGCTCCCTGCGTTTCACCCACCCAGTACAGCGTTTCGTGGCCCCATAGGGTTTTCCACCGACGCCCCCAGTGGCACCGCCCGCATGCGTCCGCCACCACCCAGCACAGCCCTTGCTCCCTGCGTTTCGCCCACCCAGTACAGCGCTTCGTGGCCCATAGGGGGCTCCACCGAAGCCCCGAGTGGGACCGCCCGCATGCGTCCGCCACCACCCAGCACAGCCCTTGCTCCTTGCGGTTCACCCACCCAGTACAGCGCTTCGTGGCCCCATAGGGTTTTCCACCGAAGCCCCCAGTGGCACCGCCCGCATGCGTCCGCCACCACCCAGCACAGCCCTTGCTCCTTGCATTCCGCCCACCCAGTACAGCGCTTCGTGGCCCTGTAGGGGGCTCCACCGAAGGTCTCAGTGGCACCGCCCGCATGCGTCCACCACCACCCAGCACAGCCCTTGCTCCCTGCGTTCCGCCCACCCAGTACAGCGTTTCGTGGCCCCATAGGGTTTTCCACCGAAGCCCCCGGTGGCACCGCCCGCGTGCGTCCGCCACCACCCAGCACAGCCCTTGCTCCCTGCGTTTCACCCACCCAGCACAGCGCTTCGTGGCCCCATACAGGGGCTCCACCGAAGGTCCCAGTGACACCGCCCGCATGCGTCCGCCACCAGTACAGCGTTCCGTGGCACCATACGAAGCTCCACCGACGGCCCCAGTGCTACCGCTCGCATGCGTTCCCCCCCACCCAGTGTAGCGCTTCGTGGCCCTATAGGGAGCTTCACCGAAGAATGCATTCACAATTGCTGTACCCACAACTGCATATGGCTGGGTCTCTCGTCCGGATAATTTGAATGTTTTTTGAATTTTTTATTTCTCCGCCACAATCCGCCTGTATGAGGACATGCCCGTCTTAAGGATAGGTCCCTCGAGACTCAGAGGGAACAGCATATTCCAGTTGCCCGCGGCACACCCCGCAAACCGCGCCGGCGCAGCGGCGCAGCGCGAAGGGTTATATGTTCTGGCCCCAGCGCCGATTCAGCGGGCCTTTGAGGTCTCACGCCCATGTCACCGTCTAGGTGCTCGAGCGGAGGCCCCTCATGGAACGCAACCGTTCAGCTTTCGCGCCGAAGACCGCCAGAAGACCGACAGAAGACCGCCCGAAGACGGCTCAGGAGCGAGGGGTAAGAAAAAATCCATGGTCCATGTCGTTGTCTGCTACCCTCTCGGCGCGGCGATGCTCAGGAGCGCGCCCGGCTCGCGGAGGAGAGGGCCAGGTCCCGCGTGCTGGAGCAGATGCTCCAGGCGGGCCCGCTCCGCGCGGCCCCGCGCGAGGCCTACCCCCCAGCTCAGACTTCGAGCCAGGCACTGTCGCCCAGATCCGGGCCCCGCGAGCCTCACCGATCGATGCGCCTCCGCAGAACGACGGGGGCCCAGGGCCGCAGTCGCGATTTTTCCCAACCATCCTGTGGTGTTGGGTCCTCGTTTTGAAGAGACAGCGCCCCGTCACTCCTCCCGCTGCCCCCTCCCCCCTCATCTCACTATCATCATCGTCATCACTCGTTTCAGCACACCCCTCACACGTTTCGTGGCCCCATACGGAGCTCCACCGAAGGTCCCAGTGGCAGGGTTCGCATGGCGCCACCGCACCCATTCCGGCACGCCTCACACGTTTCGTGGCCCCATAGGGAGCTCCACCGAAGGCCCCAGTGGCAGGGTTCGCACGGCGCCACCGCACCCATTTCGGCACACGCCTCACACGTTTCGTGGCCCCATAGGGAGCTCCACCGAAGGCCCCAGTGGCAGGGTTCGCACGGCGCCACCGCACCCATTTCGGCACACCCGGGGGCTTCACCGAAGGGGGGTCTTACAACTGCGGTACTCGCCAGAGTAATGGTTGGGTCCTTCACCAGAGTAATTCGCACATGTTGGTCTTTGCACATGGTTTGGTCCTTCGCCAGAGTAATTCGCTATGTTTTTGCTTGAGACGTCGGACCTCGGGATCCAGCAACAATCGGAGCTGCCGGTTTTGGACTACTTTCTGCCTCCTTCAGCGGGCCCAGGGACCTTCAAACAACGACTCAGGACGAAAAGCCGGCCCTAAAGGGAAGTGGTCCAGACCTCCGAGGGCCCACGCATTGAAAAACTCGGCGGCCGGATGTCTTGGGATATACTGCCACGCCTTCCTCGTGGTCGTCTTTCTGTCTTTCTGGCCTCCTGGGAGGCCCTCATCGCCACGGCTGGCTTCGCCCCGAAATCTTGGCCTAAGCGCACCCGGGGAAGAGGTCCAGAGAGTAACGGTATCGGCCGTCTGTACCATGCCGCCGGTGTTTCGTCCCGAGTCGTTTTTGGGATGACGACGTTTCTGGGGCCCGTGGAGGGCCCCCAGAGGCCGAAAACGGCAAGAAATTGGCCGCTCCTCTCCTCCTCCTCCGCATCCTCCTCCTCCTCCTCCTCCTCCTCCTCCTCCTTCTCCTCCTCCTCCTCCTCCTCCTCCTCCTCCTCCTCCTCCTCCTCCTCCTCCTCCTCCTCCTCCTCCTCCTCCTCCTCCTCCTCCTCCTCCTCCTCCGCCTCCTCCTCGTCTTCCTTTTCTTTTGGGACCCAGACATCCGTCGATATGTTTTTTTTCAACCCGCGGCCACTCGGTTCCCGAGGCCCCTTCCCTGGAGGGGGTGTTTGATCCAGGCTTGTTTCGATCCCTCCGATTCGAATCGATTCGACGTCGATGGCTTCCGATTCCG